AGAGGCATATTTATTTATTTATTTAATTGTTTGTTTGTTTTGTTTATACATGCACTGGGTACAGTCAGAAGCGCGGGAGGGTGAGAGAATTCACCAGAGCCAGAGGGGGGAGCAGAGCAGGCAGAAGGACCGAAGTGCACTGCTGAGGGGAGCAGCGGGCGGCAGGAGAGGTCTGCGCGCCATGTGGGACCCTCCTCCGGTGGCTGGGGAGCAGCCGGGGATCGAACCGGAGCCGCAGAGGCTGCGGGCAGGTTCGCAACCCAGCGTTCAACCGCTGCGCCACCGGGGAGGCCCAGGAAAGCCTTCTTATTACAATGATTCCCATGTGGCATAACCTTAGAAACACTCTCTCCCTTTTACAAACACGACCCCAAATTTAAGGGTCAATTTATGGTTAGGTTCAAATTACACTGGTTTGCCTGTGCCTTTAGGAGAAATTCTCAGACTTACCCCCAGGACTAAGGATTGCCCACCACCACAGAAGGGAGACCCATAGTAGCCAGCAGGAAGGCACTTGGGCATGGGCACGCTGCTGTATAATTCTGGCCAAATAAGCCATTCTGGGTCCTGGCTCATCTAGGGGTTGAATGATAATGTGTTGCCTTTGGAGAACCAAGGCCTCCCCAGTCTTTTTGGAGCAATGAGGACTCAGCCCAGAGGGCTCTGATCTCTGCCCAACGGTCTCCTTGAGACCTTGGACCCTGACAACCTGCACAGGAGGGAGCCAGGGACTTCCAGGACTGCCCTCAGCTCCTGTAGTAGGTAGAGGGAAAGAGTCAGGGAGAGACTTGACTTTTTTCTTAGCCTCTCACTTCAGTCCATGAGTTTGGGGCCCAGGAGTGCATCTGGGGGGTCCTGCAGCTGAGAAATTGCAACATCACATTGCCACTGGGAAGGCAAATGTTGGGGTCTCCTGGCTCCCTCTCACCTCTGTCTGCTGCCTCTCTTTTCTTTCCTTCTTTCTGGAGCTCTCTCCCTCCCCCCCTCCTCTCCCTCACAAAAGCTCTCTGTACACAGCCACTTCCTCTGGCTGCTGTCTCTGAGCCCAGACCTTATGAGAACCATATGGGGGAAAGAGGGTGGAAGCAAAGGGGGTGGGGAGGCAGGCGTGGGCTGCCCCTCCCACCAGCATCTTTCCACTCCCCTCAGGCTACGTGAATGGCAGTTGGCACACTTTGCCCCAAATTCCCTTAACTGGATCCTGGTGGCTGGCGTGAGGGGTACTGAAGGGAGGGCCCAGTCCAGAGCTGGAGGCCCGAGGGAGGGAGGTCTGTGCTCCAGAATGCCTTCTCTGAGACCGTGCACTGCAGAGGGCTACGACAGGGCCTCTCCAACCCTTCCCTCCCCTGATGGCCACCTGAAGCCCACCAAACTCCCAGCAAAAGAACACAACCAGTGCCAAGCACATTTGGGGCACAAACACCCCTTCGTCCCCATATGGGCAGCCTGCATGGTAGGCGCCCCACCCCCCACAGTCCCCACTCCCCACCCCCCACTGAAATGGGAAGCTGAGTGGATAGACAAGGGTCTGTGGGCTCTGGGAGAATCAGAGTGACCCTTCTGTGCCTGCCCTGACCTACCCAGCCTAGGAATGCTCTCAGGTCAAAAGGACCTTGGTATTGCTGGGGAGAAACAGGTTTGTTTTTTTTTAAGTAGCATTTTCATCCATAGGGTCCCAAGTCCAGTCAGGTGAACAGCAAGTCCCTTACCTGAGGAGAAAGCTACAAAACTCAACCAGCTAGCCCTGACACTGGCGTCAGTAGTGAGACGTCAGCCCTCTCTCCTCTGGGCCTCACTTTGCTCAGCTGCAAAATGTAAGGGATGGACTGGCTAATCTCTAGGGTCCTTTTCAGTGCAGACGTTCTAGGAATTTATAACATGGGTTGATAGCCTCTGAGGGGCTGCTCAGCTGTCCGGGGAGATCTTCATAGGAGGAGGATCCTTCTGGAGTTATCTATTATTAGACCTTCCCTGGAATTCCTTATTATTCCCCCCACTGCCACTTGAACTCCCAGAGCTGAGAAAGAGGGGCCTCATCACCTGGTGTGGGGGAGTAGGGTAGGTGTTCACAGTGATGGGGGTCTCCCTCCCACGGCCAGGATCTCTGTAAGATGCCGCCAGCTTTGGGAATTTTCCCTTAGGGAAGGCCCTGGAAGCCTCCTGCTCTGGTCAGAAGCACTGGTACCCACAGTTGCCCTCTGGACCAGGCCGCAAGACTGAGAGTGTGGGTGGGACAGAGGGATCAGGAAGGAAGCTGAGAGTTCTGCTTTCCTGAAAACCTGTGAATGAAAATCCATTAAAGGGGGGGTGGGTGTGGGGGGAAGAAAAAGTAAAGGGTGGGGAGAGTTAGTCTATAAAAACAGAAGGCAGAAGTTGAGATAATAAGGGGGAGGTAGAAGGGTTCTTAGAGAGATAAACAGGATTGTTCACAGCATTGCCTCTGAACTGCTTGGAGGCACCTTGCAGAAAGGCATCTATCTCATCTAGAGCTTTCTTTGGCTGAATAATCCCAGCACTAGTGTCTGCTAGGCTTCCCAAGCTGGACTCCCAAGTCCCCTGAGGCACTGAGTGGTATGTGAAGGGTGCTGGAACCTAGTGGCCCTTGCTGGAGAGAAGAAAAGAGAGAGGAGAGAGAGGTTAAAGCCACAATGTAAAAACTATTGTTTCAAGTCCTGTTTGCACCAGGTGGCAGGTTAGATGAGAGGGGAAATTTGTGTGCACAAAGTACTGAGGAGATCAAGGAGGCAGTGGGAGGGCATGGAGGTTTGCCTGAACTTAGCCTCTTGCTGGGCAGCCAGGATGAAGCTGTAGTCTTTTCCCAAACCTTTTCTTCCCTCAAAATGCATGCTGGGGTTGGGATAGGGGGCCTAGACCCTGAGAAAGAGTCATTGCACATCTTCTCCTGAAGAATTTGGGCTCTTTTCCCTTCAGAAGCCTGCTTAGGGGGTGGTGTGAGGGGTGGCAGCAGTCAGGATCAGTATTATGTGAGTGGGAGACCTAAGAAATACGTGGGTGGCTGGGATTCAGTCACACTCCAGGCTGATGGGCCAGCGAGTTCTCAGGGTTTCTGTAGCCCACCCAGCCTGTTGTCCCTGAGGGGGGAGGGGGCCGGTATCCAGTCAAGTTCAGGAGGCCCTTCCTTGGAAGGAATCTTAAACCAGCTAGGTCAGTGGCCTGAGACATAAGGGGTCCCTTCTTCTGGCTACAGCCAGCAGTCACGTTTGCCACCACCCTCTCACAATGTATTCTCACCAAGGGTTGGCCCTCTCTTCCTTGGAGTGGCGTCGATGGGAATTAGCCATGGCTGGAAAGCATTAGTTGCCAAATCAGTCTAAGATGTTCTGCAAAACCACCTTTTAATGCCCCCCCCCCTTCAGTATGTTAGGACTCCCTAATCCTGACAAACAGATACACAGAGAGACAGTGTCCCACACATGCTTGAGAGAGCAGCCACAGGATCAAGTATACACACATTCCCCTTCTGGACTTATCTCGGCCCAGCTGGGACTCACACACCAGCCCAACTATTCCACACAGCAAGCATTTTTCTCTTCCAAAACTGAGTGGGCTGGGGAATGCCCAGGCCTGTCTGGACCCTTCAACACCAGTGGATACTCAGAGGGACCTGGAATGAGCAGCCACAGCTGCCTTCCCGGGCCATGGCCATATGCCTGAGCTGCTGGGAGGAGGAAGGTAGCAGACACAGCGCCTCCACAACCCCCATCCCCCCCAAGCTAGGGAACATGCAGGGGCCAGGAGGCCAACGTCAGAGACTGACCAGTGTGTCCTGTCAGGAAGCGGGCAGCCTCTGAACCCACCCAACCAGAGGAGTTACTGTATTGTTCTGGACACAATCAGACGACTGCAAGCCAGCTCCCACTCCCGGCTAGCGGTGGTGGGGAAACAGTCGCCACTAGGTCAGGAGAACAGTGAAGGGGAAGCAGCTAGTAGGCTGCATCCAGGACAGGACAGGACAGGAAGGGGGCGCCGCTAGGGCCCGACCCTCAAGCCCACGATGTGTTTAGAAGCCCGAGCACGTGGTCAGTGCGGGAAGTCGCGGCAGTGGGGAGGGGTAGCTAATTCTCCAGAGGCTGCAGGGATTTCAGACCCCCAACAAGGAGGGTTGTGGCAGCCAAATCAGGGCTTAATAAGGCCCTGGAGGACAAGGGGCATTAGAGGAGGGAAGGAGGCTGGGGAGAGGGGGTGGCTGGCGACTTCCCTCAGCCAGGTTTCTTTCCTGGCAATCTTTGCGCCAACAAGTCAATCGAGAAAAGTCAAAGCTCAAGCTATATACCGGGCAGGAAAGGAGAGGACGGGGTGCAGGAGCCAGCACAGAGCTCATTGCACGGATGCGCGCGACGGGAGGGGGCTCAAGAGAAAGTGGGATGTCAGGGTCTTCTTCCGACTAAAAGCCGCAGCACCCCAACGACAGACTTTTCCGAGCCCACGCGCCAGCCTGCCCGAAGAAGACAGACTGGAAGCGGGAATGGCAGGCTTGGGGGGGAGCTACAGCTCCCCCCACTGGAGGAGACAGGCCCGCCGGGTGAATTCGGAGACTCCCAGTTCCGGGGGTCCGCGACGCGCCCCCGGTGTTAACTACCACAGCCGCTCACTGGGCCGCGAGGGTCGATCCTTCCTGAGCCTTGCCCCATCCCACCCACCTCAAGTCCCCGAGTTCCGCAACACCACCAGCCCAGCCTGGAAATTCAAGGAGCGTGGGCATCACGCCAGCGCTCACTCCACTTCACCTGTGCAGGTGAGTGGGTGCCCGCGGTGCTCCTCTCTGGGGTGCACCGACCCCCCTAAAGCACCTTCCTCCCTACCCACTCCTGATCTTCCCCCTACCTCTCAAAGTCCTCTTCTCGGCGCCTGGACTCCGAACTGTCCTGGAGACTGCGCTGGGGATATCGGCTCTTCCCCCTCTTCCCGCCCCTCCCGTCTGGTCTCCATTAGCTCCCCCAGTCTGGGCTCGGGTCGGGCGGGCAGCGTGGGGTACTCACAGGGTGACGGTGCCGTTAGGCAGTAGGCCGGGCTCGGGAGGCTCCGGGAGGTCCCCGCCGCCGCACACCACCCTCCTGCGCGCTGGGTTGGGGGCGCCGCCACTGAGTCCCTTGGGCCGCTCCCCCGAGCACTTGCAACTGCGGATGGGGACGGGGCAGCCGGGAGCGCCCTGAGTGTCGCTCAACAGGAGCAGTAGCCACGGCAGCAGCGACAGCAGCAGACGCACGGGCGCCCCCAGCATCCTGCGTCCCCCGGCGCCCATCAGCCCATCGCCCCGCGGGGACAGACAGCGCTGCAGCCCGTCTGAGTGCGGGTCCGAGGGACCTGAGCGCGCGGGAGGCGAGCTCAGTAGGGGCCCGGGGCGCCCAAGGGCGGGCTGGGGGGCCCTGGGCGCAGGCAAACCCCGGGGTCCCCGCCGCCGCGCCCGGGGGGCATGTCCGGCGAGCGCCCCGGCGGGGAGGACGCGGGCGCGGCTGTCAGCGCCGCACAGGCGGCCCCCGGCGGCGCGGTCCGAGCCTCTGCGCGCTGCCCCGGGGCTGGGGGAGGCCGGGCCTCTGCGCGTCTCCTGCTCGCTGAGCGCCCGGCTGGGACCTAGCGGATCGCGCCGGGCTCCTGCTGCCGCCGCCGCTGCTCCGTGCCATGGATGGAGGCTGCTCGGCGCCGCGACGCTCCCGCCGCCGCCAGCCCCCGCCCGCCCTCCAGAGAGGGCGCCCTCCCCTCGCCGGCGCGTCCGTCCGCGAGGCCCTAGCGCCTCCCGATGCGCAGCCAGGCCGCTGCCCTTCCCGGGCCGGAGCGGGCCAGCGGGCTTGAGGCCCTGCCTGTCAGCGGCAAGAGTCCTGAGGCTAGACTCCCTCGCTCTTCCGCTCCTCTCCCCCGAGCCAGGCTTGTCGTCTACGAAGTCCTTCTTAGACCTCAAAGCCAACCACCGCCATCACTTTCCACAAAGCCCCCCCCTCCCCACCCCGCTGGTCCTCCAGCCTGCACCCCCTGCCTCGGGGGCTTTCATTTACCTGCGACCTTGGCCAGATGTGTCTAGAGCTACAGGCTTCAGACTGAACTTCACGGCTCTAGGGTTGCTGGGACCCGGCTCTCTTGGCGCCTGACATGCTGGGCCTGTCTGGTATTGGCTGTCACTCCCACAGCCAGCCTGGGTTCTCAAGGTCTGACTGAGGCCATTGCAGGACACAAGCCAAAGACTAAAGATTGGCAGCCCCTCCTCTGGGCCCCCGTGACCTCGCCCAGCGGGGTTGCATGTCTTGAACCAGGGAGGGGTCAAAGGCCAAGGCAGACTGATCAGATCTGGTGGACTTCTTACCTTTTCCACCTCCCAAATGTGTTTATGTGTTTGGGGGGCCGCTGGGAATGAGGGAAATTGGGAATGGGTCTGTGCTACTCCGAGTATTCTCTGGGGTAAAAATGGAGCCCTTCCTGACCCGAGTTGATGGATGTAAGTTGTGGCATGAAAGTGAGTTAGAGAGGGAGCACCAGGAGTTCTATGGGTGGTTTGGGCAGAGTCTGACCTTGACTGCCAGCGAGGGGGATAAAAGTTGCCTGTGAGTCTTAGATGGACTCTAATGCAAGCTAGGAACAGGGCTGTGGATGGAGGGAAGAGAAAAAGATGACTCTGGGTGTCTGCCTCCTCATTTTTCCCCACAAGTAACTTTTTTTGGGTCACTTCCTAGAGTCTTTGTTGCAAAGAGACAGGCTGTTCCAGTTAGGAGACCCTGTTCCCCCTACCTCAGTGTGCTACCAAAATGGGGCCTGGACCTCCCTGGTAGCGCAGTGGTTGAGCGCTGGGTTGCGAAGCTGCCCGCAGCCTCTGCAGCTCTGGTTCGATCCCTGGCCTCTGACGAGAGTCCCACATGGCGCGCAAACCTCTCCTGCTGCGCCCGCTTCTCCCCTCAGCAGTGTATTTCGTCAGTCTGCCTGTTCTGCTCCCCGCTCTGGCTCTGGTGAATTCTCTCACCCTCCCGCACTTCTGACTGTACCCAGTGCATGTATAAATAAATAAATAAATCTTTAAAAAACAAAACAAAACAAAAAAATGGGGGCTAAGGTGACCATCCTCTTTTTCTGTGCTCCCAGCCCTGCTGGTGTGTGTGGCACCGTTTCCAGCACCATGACCTTTAAGCAGCTTCACTTTCTTGCCCGTTGGCCGCAGACTCTGGGCCCAGACACTGGCCTCTTCACTTTCTCTCCCTGGCTCCACAAGTCTCTCCCATTTGCAGGCTCTGGTTCCTTCAACTTCCAAAGATAAATAAATAATGATTGCAAATGGAGGAAGAGAGAAGGGGATTGGACTCCCCCAGCAGGAGCCCTCTGCAGGCTGGCGCGAGCTGAGATTGCATTCCTCAGGAAGGGTCGGGGGGTGGGAGCTTACCCTCCGATTCCTTTTTAAGTGCTTTTTTTCTTTGAGCTACTCAAAAGATTTCCCCAAAGGAAGCTTCCTGGTTATCTTTCCTCAGAGGTACAGGACAGAGTGAGCCAGTAGCCTACATAAAAATCTTTTTGTTTTTAGGTTTGCTGGAGCTAGCCAAGATGACTCAAACTTAGTTACCAACCTCAGGAAATCTGGCTAGGGAGCTGGACCAATGAAATACACCCTGATAGTGTGTGATAAGCTTTTCAATGGAGTAGGGATAAGCAGCCATGAAAATAGACGCAAGGCTTGAATTAATCCTGACTGAAGTGAGGCAGAGGGAGCTCAACCAAAGTTTTAGCCCAGTCCAGGGAGTAAGTGCAACCCACCTGACTTCGACTAAACCATAATTATTCCCTTCAAGTTCTCTTATTTGTGGTGCCTCTAGAGAGGAGAAAAAATCTGCCACTCCAAACCATGTCTTTGGCAAGAAGTTTATTTCTTGTGAGAGGTTCTGAAGGTGGGTGGAAGTTGCTTTTGATGTTTATACTGCACTTCTCTCTGGAAGACCTAATCCCCTTATCTCTTCTCCTCTCTGGGGAAGGCAGAAGTACCTTTGCCCCCTTCCTCCCCAAATGCACACACAAATGCCCTGATTTCTTCATTCTTGCCCCACGCTCCCTTGTCCTAGCTGGGCTATTTAAAATGGCATGTAGGGCCTCCCCGGTGGCGCAGCGGTTGAGCGCTGGGTTGCGAAGCTGCCCGCAGCCTCCGCGGCGCCGGTTCGATCCCCGGCTGCTCCCAGGCCACCGGAGGAGGGTTCCACATGGCGCGCAGACCTCTCCTGCCGCCCGCTGCTCCCCTCAGCAGTGTACTTCGGTCCTTCTGCCTGCTCTGCTCCCTGCTCTGGATCTGGTGAATTCTCTCACCCTCCCGCGCTTCTGACTGTACCCAGTGCATGTATAAACAAACAAACAAAATAAATAAATAAATTAAATAAATAAAGCATGCCTCTATTAAAAAAAAAAAAATAAAAAAAAAAAATAAAATGGCATGTAAAGCCACATGGGGGGGGGGTTAGTCAGGCTGGGTCTGTCCCATGCATACAAGAGGTATACATGTTATTATTATTATTATTTTAAGATTTATTTATTTATTTATTTATTTATTTGTTTATTTATTTATTTATTTATTTATTTATTTATTTATTTATACAAGCACCGGATACAGTCAGAAGTGCGGGAGGGTGAGTGAATGCACCAGATCCAGAGCGGGGAGCAGAGCAGGCAGAAGGACCGAAGTACACTGCTGAGGGGAGCAGCGGGCGGCAGGAGAGGTCTGCGTGCCATGCGGGACCCTCCTCCGGTGGCCGGGGAGCAGCCGGGGATCGAACCATCGCTGTAGAGGCTGTGGGCAGCTTCGCAACCCAGCGCTCAACCGCTGCACCACCAGGGAGGCCCTATACATGTTATTATTAAACTTTTCTATGGTTCTTTCTGTTATCAATCTGACAGATGCTTGTTTGATTATTTACCAGCCTTGAAGAGTCCAGAGATGGCTTCTTCAGGACCCCAAGACCCTCCCAAAAGTTTGCATTTGCCAGGGGCTAGTTGCTAGCCACCCTTTTTCTTGCCCTCAACTTCAATGTTGCTCCATTTCCACTTGTCCAGGAGTGACTGGCACCTCTTACCCCATGACGGGGCAGACCCTCCATTAGTAGCAGCCGAGAGTAGAAAATGGAGCAGTGGGCACTGTCCCCTCACCCTGAGACCACACCTAACACAGGAGGACCTGCACATCTGGAGCACTAACATCAGCTGAGAACTTAGCATGTCACTTGCTGGTTACATTTTACAAGATGGCTGTCTAAACAGACAGGAACTGAGAGGTGGAAAAGCACCTTAATGGTAACTTGTCCACACCCCTTTCACAGCTAGTAAGGCATAGAATCAGCATTTGATCCCAGGTTCTCTGTTCTCCAGAATGCAAAGATTTAAACACCATATTCTATGCATTATAAGGAGAAGGGCTCTCAAGGATTCTCCCAAGAGTTCTCTTCCCCTTGAGACTTTCTTATTTTGATTCCCTGTCCCACTCTGAGATGAATCTATAGAGATATTCACTCTCAAACCATGGTGGGTAGTAGAACCAGTCTACCCCTTTCCCCCGTATTCTAACAGATTCAGGGAAGGCAAAAACTTTCCTAATATCTTCACTACTTAAGTAGAGGAAAGGAAGGTGTCGATAAAGTCTACGGAACACTGGATGGGTCTGAAGTCCTTTGAGTTTCCATCCTTTGAGCTCTCTGTCCCTCTCTTCCCTGTCCTGTACCTCCCTGTGGGGACTGTGCTGAGCCCCCCACCCTGTTGGAGCACTTACTCTGAGTCTTCATGACAGAAATGCTCATTCCTCAATCAGAATGGAGGGAAGACACCAGATAAATATTTGGGAGCTGTAAGGACTATCCTTTGGTGATCAGATTCTACCACATAAAAGGTGCCCATGTAAAATTTCAACATTCCCTCAGATAAGGTTTTGATCTCTGTTTCTATTAAAATCTGACTTGTTCCTTAAGTGAAATCAACCCATATTGTCCCAGATGATGGGACACCTTTGCACAGAAGCTAAGAGCATGGACTTTGGGGCTGGATTCAAATCATGGCTTTCTACCTTATAGACTGTGATTTTGGGCAAGCCACTTAATTCACCTAGGCCTCATTTTTGTATTCTGTGAAATAGGGGATAAAATTAATCTTACTTTATGATAATGATGATAGCGTCAGTAATATGTAAATGATGCCCATATGGTGTAATACAAAAATAGACTTGGTCTGTGTCCCGGTTCCAGATATGGAGCTCCTAAAACCCTTGGAATTTCCTGAGAATTGATAGGAGTATCTGGTTATTCTTTTTTTTTTTTTAAAGATTTATTTATTTATGCATACAAGAGCTGGGGTACAGGCCAGAGGTGTGAGGGGTGAGAGGATTCACCAGAGACAGAGTGGGAAACAGAACAGGCAGATTGGACGAAGTACGCTGCTGAGGGGAACAGCAGGTGAGGGCTAGTCAGAAGAAAAGGTCTGCTGCGCCATATGGGTTGCTCCCTGGCGGGCCGGGGGATTGAACTCGTGTTGCAGTGGCTGCGGATAGCTTCATAGGTTGCATCTTAACCCTTTGCGCCACCCAGGAGGCCCATATCTGGTTATTCTTAAGGCACCTCTTTGATGACAATTGAGTTTATGTTAATGGGGTGACTGAGGGCAGGACTCTCAGACAGCCTCAGGAT